CCTGCAATGTCTTTGCAGCACAAAAAATGAGAAAAAATGAGAAAAAACAACATCGCGATGGCAATATGGCATTAAGAATTATTTCTTATCTGACTCATTAACGCGACCTCGCAGTCAACCTCGCAAGCAAGGGCCTCCACACCCACGGCGGGACGGAGACCCTTGCTTGCGAGGTTGCCTCGCAGTGTGAAAAATAAGTACGTTATTTTGAGGCACCTCGGGGATATGTGTTTATTCACCTCGGCGCTACGCGCCTCGGTGAATAAATCACATATCCCCTCGTTGCCTCAAAATAACCTATACGTATTAATAATGATCTAGTGTTTGTTGTGAAGTATATTATGTTTAATAGCAGAAATTTCTGTACTCAGTGTAATCTGTAGTCAGTAATGTCAGTTCGTATTGTTTCCGAGACGTTTTATGTAAGGGACGGACCATTAGAAAAGTGATGGGGGGGGGGGGGCGATTTTCTAAGAGGCAATATATTTTTTTTTTGTACACCTATAGAAGAAATATTTTTTTTTTCTAACTTGATGGTTGGAAATATTTTTTTTTTAAAGGGGCCCTACAGTAATTTTTTAGTCAAGTAAGTATTGTTTACATTTTTTGTTATTGTTGCTACTTGACATGCGCACCACAGTATGCATGCGTTTTCTGTGTGCGAAAGTACTCATACTCATGGATACTGCATGTAAAGGCCTGATTCCACGAGCGCTTTTTGTCAGCGAAATGTGAAATATTTCGCCTGTTTCTTTTGAATTGTGAGCAATCAAGTAGAAATAATTTATTCGAGTGGTCGCAATTCAAAAGAAACAGGCGAAATATTTCGCATTTCGCTGACAAAAAGCGCTCGTGGAATCAGGGCTTAAGATACAGCCAAACGAATCTCCGTGGAGTCCCCTACTTAAGGTGGCTTTCGACTAAAAAATGACTGTAGGGCCCTTTAAAGGGTATTGGCAACAAAAATTGCTTCATCTATCTTATTGCTTCATCTGAAAGAGCATGAAAAAATAAGCCGATTGGCCGTTTAATGCTCTATTCTATCTCATCTATTTCCGAAGTTATACGCAACAAGAAAATATTTCTTTAAAAAAGAAATAATGTTTCGTTCCAATATAATTATAGAAATACCAGACGTCTGTAATTAGCGGTTGTGACCATAGATCACTTGTATATGTCGAGCAATGAAATTGGTTCATTTTGTGAGGCGGGCGGGTTCTATAAATTTTCATTACCCGGAGGGGCCGAGCGGTCCAGAAATACAGTTGTAGTATTTAAAATGAAGAAAAACAAAGAAAACTATATAATAAATATATACCGCTGTTGGCGCTTGAATACTTCAAATATAAATCATCGTGCCTGTAGATTTTGACTTGAAGTTCAGGCCCTAGATTTTGATTGGTTGCAAGTTCACATAAACAACAGTTTTAAAAATAGCTCGGTGAAGGGCTCAAGGGGACAATAATAATATAAAGGTCAAATGCACGTAACAAATCCATTATCGATTTCTTCGAATTTCTTTTCTTTTATGGTTTATGGCAGAAAATAAATCAAACAAATAGTATTTTGAAGGTCTTTATCAAAATCTTTGACGAATTTTGGACACACGACGCTGAAAGAACAGCCAAACTAGTCATCTATTCGAAAGTTTGTTGTTGACAGCCAAGATGTTCTGCCAACTGGCTTCGCCGGCAAAAGTCTTATTTTTAATATCAGGTCCTACCGGCGTTGTTTTCTGAGCCTTCTTCGTGGTACGATTGAGAATTTTATTGTTGCTGTTGTTAGCCCGTTAAAGTATATCCTTGGTATATATCCTTGGCAGTCAAGCTGTACACAGAACTGACTAATTGAATCTTCGTTTGCTGTTCTGTTAAATAGAGAAACTGACTCTTAATTATATAAAAGTACCTTGAATTTTTAAGTTTAATTAAAAAGCAAAATGCACACTCTGCGGACATGAGAATA